AAAAAGCAAAAAAAAAAAAAAAAAAAAATCCCATGGGACTTGACTTTCGACAAGAAAGCCATGGAAGCAAGGCAGGTTTTACAGATAGAAATCATACTTACCCAGAAGACCTTCAGGCTACATTAAAAAAAAGGTTGCTGTTTATGGAAATAAATCTTTGCCAGAAAAGGAAGATTGCCAAATATCAATTGCCAAAGATGAGAACTAATAGTAGTACCGTGTAGAAAAGGGATGTAGTAGTCATCCCTTCCTAAGGGACTCTACCCCAAAAAACAAAAAGGACATGTTTTTCCCTGGTGTCCAGAACTCCCAAGAACTTACTTGGAAGACAGAGATATCTCTGTTTTTGTAGGAACAAAACTATGAAGTTGGCCAGTTCTCAAGTAAAACGTGTTGACAACTAACAGATGACAAATCTAGCCTGTGATTTTTCTGCTCACATTCAATCTCATCCTTTTTTTAAATCAAAATTTTGATGCATGGCATTGGATTCCACAAAATTGATTAACTAGATCACAACAGTTAAAAATGTTTGCCTTGACTATCTTCAAGTACCGATTATTTGTTCTATCCATAAAAGAAATAGTAGCAAAAGRAAAATTACAACAGTTAAGGTTTTAAAGTAAATTCCTTGCCTTGAAAGATCCCCAATATGGTTGAGTATTTTACTTTTCACCTATTTGGAAAACTGTTTCTAAACAGGAAGTTGCTGTGATGACTCCTATGGATAGATTCTCAAATTACTCAGCAAAAAATACGATGACCATTCTGATTTTTTTCAAATCCTTTTTCAGAGATTACAATGCTTCTTTAGATCCATTGACCTCAAACTTCTAAATCAAAAGATTCTTACATCAAATGTCCTTGATGATTTTGAACAATGAGCTGAATCTTGAGGGGACTGTAATGCAGTGGCAAACCTGGTCTGGCAAACTATCACTTTTTTCCATTGGTGCTACTMAAAGTACCTCAGTAATGATCTTTCAGTATGTTTCATATGCGTGTTAAAATTAACTGCAAGGAGAAATTCTTCAGAAACAAAATTCACAAGTGTCATAATGTGACTTCGCACTGCCACTTGGGGACCAGCAGTAATGTCTAGCCTGTTGACATGCCTCAGGGGCCTCCTTCACTCTGGCAGGTAACTCATTCCAGCAACAATTACTGGCCTCTGTGCCAACGATGTCTAGACTCACTTGCTCACAAAAAAATGGTAGTTTCTCACAGAGTGGGCAATGCTCACCCAGGAGGCAGGGACCACCCTTCCACCAAATCCCAAACCCAGGTTTCAAACAGCTACAGCACTCACATTTGCAAAGAAGGTTGGAGAGACCAGTTTCCTTGCTTGTTTTCACGTAAAGCAATTGCCTCCTCTGAGCCTTGTTCCTACAGAAGGCCACATACTTTTCTAGAGAAACTTAAAATAAACCCTACTACAGTAATATCAACAAAAAAATTTAGGGCAAAAATATTCAACCAAAATTATAATTTGTTACACTACAATCAATTGAAAACAGCTTAAAATGGGATGCTGGGAGATCTTAACAGGTGGTTTTACCCAAATTTTGTAAAGAAATTAAAACAGGTGGAAAAAAAAATATACAGCCTTTGCAGACCACACTAGATAGCATCCACAGATAGCTAGATAGCATCCACACTAGATAGCATCCTTGACTGACTGGCAGGATTGGCACCTACAAGTATCTTAGTATTAATTAAAAGGAAAGCTATAGAATATAAGTAATGATGGAAGCCTGCGTGGAAAGTTCTCTTGAAAACTGCTCCCAGGGCATTCTCCAGGAAACACTTGCAAGGGGCAAGGGCAGGAAGCCAAAATGGCTCGCTCGCTTCAGAAGCGCTTGTCCTATTAACCAGGCTTCCTGCCAGGCAAAGGAAGRCACTCCGCACCTCACCTTATGAGGCAGCACTGAAATGAAGGCAAATTTGAARTAGAGATCTAATAATAACAAATCAAGGCAGGAACATCGTTTCAGGTGATCATCTGAGTGGTCACAGTTTTGAAAAGAAAGAAGGCCAGGGAGGGAGAAGCGAGAGAGGCAAGTAAGAGAACATCCTCTCCCTGCTAGAGCCTGCACATCCAGGCAGGCTGGATTCATAAGTTCATAAGCCTGGAAGGGAAATTTCTCCATCTGCTCTTACTAGATGTGTCCGGCTGCTTTCCAAGGCTCTTGTCTGCTYGGAGGGTGATGCATCTTGTTGTTGCTTTGAGAAGTTTAATTAGGCAACTGGAAATGAAAGCCAAGAATACCCTCTGCACAGAGSTCTTCCCCAAAATAAGACCTGATTACTGCAAGGGCCAAGCCTTGAGAGAATTTGCAAWCCTGACATTATTTTCAACCCAGTTTCTCTCTTGATTCATTTGGAGTAGAAGGATAAAATAAAGTAAAAGAGATACAAGGCTGTACAGACCAATCAGATGGTGGAATTTGCTGTGATATTCACGATGTGTCTGCTCATCATTTAACTGGTTTTTGAAGCTTCAGGTGCTGGTATACTGAATATGTGGAAGTTTTCTTCATATATGGGGCTGGGACAGGTTGGCAAAATAACTATGCATTTCTAAACTGAATTTAAATATAACTTTTCCTCTTACAGGTAAAAAACCTGCAATAAATCAGTTACCTGAGAAATCAAGTAAACTGCAACAACACCTGCWCCTTGCAAGACAAGCATACAAAATATGCTTAGCGTATTTTGGTAACTTATCAACTTTTGCAGAGCTGCTCAGCACTGTTTGAGGAAGTTCGGAAGTACGTTCACCTACAGCAGAATTCAGGAGAGGAAAGGCAGTGCATGCTGACCACCGAGGCTTTCCAAAATTTCAGTCTTTATTAGGGAAAGGTTGGCACTGATATCTCCTTGGAAATTATCCATCTTTGTAATATCACAGAGGAAAAAATTAAGCTAGCAAAGCACCCTTTCTCTCCTTCTTGAAGTCCCATCCAAGCTGTAGTGCTTGATAAGCAGCACACACACAAATAAGCAGCTTCMTTTTTATTGTTTGTATTCCCCATTAAAAACAACAGCAGTCTGTCAAGTAATTACAAAAACAAAACAAAGAGCTTGGTCCAACCTGCTAAAACAGTCCAGCACTCCCCTGGGTATGCTCAGGAAGGCAGACAGATGCCAGCAGTGGGTGAGACRCTGACAGTCTCCACTTCATCAGGTCATTACTTGGCCTTACTCGCTTGCTTCAGGAAAGCCTAGCGAGGGGAAAAAATTATTATGAAGCATGACAAGAGTGTGCTTGCCCCCACTGAACACAAAGCTCAATGTACCAAGGGTACCTTTCCTCCCTTCTCGAGAGCAGCAGCAGTAGCTGGTGGCAGCACATACTTTAATCTCACACTTAGGCAACAGCAGTTTGTGCTACAATGAAGTGTCACAGCACAATTCTACTGCTGATATCCTCTAAGGAGCTGATATAGTAACTGAGACTAATATATCTTTCCCGATTAAAGCTAGGAAGAAAATGCAACATACATACACCCACACACACACACACATAGGTAGGCAGAGGAGAGAGAGAGAGAGAGAGAGGGAGAGGGAGAGAAAAAAAAAAAAAAAAAAAAAGCATGCACTCAAGATGTCAGAACTGCCAGACACAGAATGCCTCTGCAATTTTAATTTGTCCTCTCCTGTCACTGGAAGGCCACATGTTCCTGACCACATTTAATACTGCTCAGTACCATGCACCCCACTGTTTCTTTGCGTAGCTGCTCCATGCTGGCAGAGAAAAGGAAGAGTAGCTGAGGGGCTGGCAAGAAGCCTTCCTGTTCCTGCCTTCCCCCAGTCAGATGCACCCCCTCCTTTCCTCACAAAAGGCCAGGGCCATTCTGAGCTGCAGTCTCCATGAGCCAGAATTTTTCAGAAAGAAGGTCTTGGACTTTCAGTGGGCAAGGAAATGAAGGGAGAAACATTTCATCCTTTGTCCATAATCCCCTGAAATACAGTAAAGCCCTACTCAAAGCACACCAGCATTAGCAAGCAATCATGACAGCAAATTGGTTTTGTTCCCAAGCTGCCCCTGTCTTTTTCAGACTGGACCTTGGATGCTCAAAAGGGGAAAAAGGCAGATGGATGCTTAACTTTTTTTTTTTTTTTTAATATAGGCTTAACAGCTCTTGATTTCTTAAAAATATTTCTAGGCCATTGACACTACAGGACAAAGACTTCAGCTCTTGTTCGAGATACTCATGAGAGTAAATGTGAGCAGAGCTGACAGAATCACAGAATATKCAAGGTTGGAAGGGACCTCTACAGATCATCTAGTCCAACCTTCCTGCTCAAGCAGGCCCACCTACAGCATGTGACACAGGGTGGCATCCAGGCGGGTTTTGAAGACCTCCAGAGAAGGAGACTCCACAACCTCCCTGGGCAGCCTGTTCCACTGCTCTGTCACCCTAACAGTAAAGAAGTTSCTCCTCAVCTGGAGAYGGAACTTCCTGTGCTCCAGGAAGTGCTGACCCTGGAGTTAAACCACGTTCCTTGCTTTCGGTAACTTCAGAACAGTCCTTCTCAAATACTCATGTTCTTCTGTTTAACACAATTCCTATAAGGAAATGCTAAAGAAACATGTGGTCTAAAAGTAACTCTTCACAACAGGTTTGCAGCATGATATTGCCCAGCCATTTTRCAATTAGGACTTAAAACATTTAAATGAATATGTCAAACCCTTGCAGTTCAACAGTCTGGAGTTCAGTATGGAWTTAACTATCCCTCTAATCCTTCCTTTTTTTTTTTGTATAGAGGCAACAGAAACCTGGATTCCTGGCTAGAATCAAAGCTCATCCTATGCCCTTCCCTCAGTCTCTGTACTTGTACACTCCTATGCCTTCCTCAAAACTACTTTTTTTTTTTTTCTTTCTTAAATTTCCCCATTTACCTGGAACTGCTTTCCAGAACTAAGCAAGATGAATGTAAAGATGCAATCTTTACATTCTTGTGCAATCTTTACAATCTTGTCACAATTCCATCAGCTTGCAGGCACTGCTGCAGAACTCTTCTGGCAGCAGAAGTTCAGGAGGAATATCAAGAACTTGAGATAAAGCAACCACCCCAAATTGCCTTCTCTAAGTAATTAGTCTCTACTCCTTCCTAACCTGTTCCACGACAAATCTTCACAGAGCAGTCTGCATGAGGTCACAAAGAACTAGGTAACGGTTCCTTTCTGCCTGATATTTCCTAAATGGTACAACCATCCAGTACATCTATCTCAAATATGTTCTAATTAGTCATTACTAATTAACATAACTGATCATTTTATACCACTTCAGTCAGATCTTGCCAACTCCTCCCCCATTTTACTGAATTAATCTGAAATTCATATCAGAATGTCTGGTCTGATGAATCCTGGAAAGTGGGAACACTGAAGAAGCCATTTTAATAAGAAATAATACATACCTGTAACAGTTGTTAGTGAAAGAATGGAAAGCAGTATCAGTACTCCAGAACCAATAGCAATGGGTTTAAATTACAGCACAGAATAGTTAAGATAACCACTAGGAAAAGCTTTCTAAGGCTTAGGATAGCAGGAGACTTGCACAGACTTTCCCAGAAGGCTGTGGAATCTTCATTGCTGAAAGTTTTTAATAAAAGGTTGGACAAACATCTGTTGGAAATGGCAGTGACAAATGAATTTGCCCCAAGGGAAGGACTAACTTTGATGTTCCCCTGACCATTTTCTTGCTCCACCCCCCCCTTTTTTTTTTGTGTAGATTCCTACCTTCTCCTCTGGAAGCACCAATCAGACAGGTGTGACAGCAGTTGCAATCTGCCACAGGCAACCCCCTGCAACTCCAACTCTTGCTAGGTATCACCGAAGCAAATTTCTCATGAATAAATTCTAAGCCACAGTCAAGAGCTACTCCTCCACAGCACTAAAAAGCATGCCAAGCAAATGCTTCAGCTAAAAGATACTGGGAGGAACTAAAGCAATTCCTTACTGAGGTTTGAATGAAGCAGGCAAGACCTTCTAGGAAATGCGGCCAGCTATCCCTTGGGCAACTATCTGGTGAGATAAAAGGCTCACCGAAATCCAACTTAAGAAGTCTC